AGCATCTCTAAACACCTCTCTAACTCATTACCGCCCACAACCCAGACTTTACCCACAATCCATCTCAGCAGTGAGGACAGCACACATCGTGCCGGCAGCCACTGAGAAAGAGGTTTATAATTGTAATCATATATGTAGAGACGCAGCATTTGTGCCATACTGTATGATTAGTAAGACAAATAAGTAATAATTTGCTAATGACAACATTATGTTGAGTCAGTTTAGGGGCAATTACAGTGAGTGATATTTACATATGCCTAATGAATCACCGTGCAGTGGCAGCTTCAGGAAGCCTCATGAATATTCATCCATGCATCCGCTGCAGTTTATAAACTGAATTATGGTTGATTTGCCCTTTTAAAAAATGAACATGGGCGCATCTCCCACAAGGAGCGAATGAACAATAAAGGCTGATTATAAAAATGTTTTAGTGGTGAACTGCCGGTGAGGAGACCAAAGGCTGATTTTTATAGACTTCCAAGGCTTTTGTGCAAAAAAAAACAACAGAATAATAAATAAAAGCCATGCGTGCGGGTTGGGTTCGAAGCACTGGAGCAATCTGTGGTCCCCCACCCCCATTCAACTGGTAGCCACCCATTAGTGAGGTCAACTATATCAGCGAGGGTTCCCCAGCAATCAGCTCAAAACACAGCCTTAATTTGTCATTTCTCATCGAACGCCTAGTCTTTCAGCAGGTGCGCTGTTGTAAGATATCCATACGCTGGATGTTTTTGAGATGCAAAACAGGGAGGGAAACACAAATTGTCAGATTTTTCCCCGCAAGTTCTGCATTCTCTAATTGGTCGCTATTAATTGCAAGATCTGGGAGCTGGGAGATGCAATTCCTTGGGTAGATTATTAATTGTAAATGCCAACATCTGCCATCATGAAAGTGATTTGATCCTGCCCACTCTGAACTTTTGACCCTGATCCATATAATTGTGTACTTTATGCTCTGGTATTCAGAAAATATTTTGAAAACATTTGATGAAATTTGGTTTTAGCGTTTTAGCAAATTTGTAAGATTGTTTCAAACATGAGATTCTGTGATGTCTATTAAATATTACAAACAGAGTGAGTTCTTAACTCTCCTGGACACAGTGGGATCTTTTGAAGGATGTAATTGTTTCAAATACTGTGAAATTCTCTTAGGGCAGACTTCTGAAGGTGACGGAAACCTGGACATATCAGGGAATTTTTCAAATTGTGGTTCTGTATCATTCATGGAAATACAATCTTACAAATGTAATTTTTTTTATAAAATAATAAAAACAGCTGTCAAATATTTCACTGATGAGAAATTGATCTTATAAATGATTTTAAAGACTTTTAAAGATTTTGAAGGACTGCAAAAGTCATGGAAAAAATGTGTAACTATTATGGGTATTTTGAACATATATCATTACAGGTTTCACACTACAGGCGCGTTTCTAACCTGTACTTACAACACGTGCTTGGGCTTTCCAGTTCAGAGCAGACAGGAAGAGGAATCTATCACATCACACAGAGCATTACTGACACCTGCTGGCTGAAAGTACTGAGCTCGTCCATTAGCCGAAGGTACACATGTTTTCCCCCCACTATATAAAAGCTTTACTGGTAAAGAAAAGATTAAAACTTCTAAAGAAAAAGGTTGAAGCGATGTTAAGTCGCATTAGAAAGAACCCAGGCATATGAGTAGGCAGTCTGTTGTATTGTAAATAGGGTGAGTCGTTCTCAGGGCTGAATTGGTAATCGGGCATTTTCCCGGTGGGCCGACGCACTTAAGGGCCCGACAGAAGTTTTTTTTTGCCGAGGACCATCACGCAGGGACAGGGAGCAGCCAGTGGCCCATTGGTTTGTCTCCTGTATTGACAGAGTAAACCATCCAATCACAATGCGCCATAGACGGAGCGATGAAGTATTTTGCTCCGCCGATATAAAGATCGCTTCACCCCAACCTCTTCCTCGTCGGCTTTTCCCACGTTTTCACAGCAGCATTATCAAGAACAGGCTTGCTCTGCGAGTGATGTGGGCCAAAGAGCCAGGCAGGAGGAGGAGAGGAGAGTAGTTGAATCGGTAAAGTGCTTGATAGGGACTCGCAGCGGAGGCAGGCATCTAACCTATCCTAATATGTGTGTGTGTGCCATGAGTGTAGGATACGTAAACACTTTTTAATCAAATGTAAATTCGTCCCCAGCGAAGTCAAGTCAAGTGTGTTCATAAAGGTTTCCATGGGCCAATGCGAATAAAGCTAGATTTAAATTTAAAAAGACGTTTTATTCTAATCCAAAACAAGATGTGATATGAGTGTGATACATAGGCTACATACATACACTACCAGTCAAATTTTTTTGAACAGTAAGAAAGATCCAATAGAAAGATCAAAAGATCAGCATTTATCTGAAATAAAAAGTTTTTGTAACATTATACATATACCACTAAAATGCTTGGAGTCAGTATAATTTTTTTTAGTTTTTTGGGGGGAAATGACAGAAATGAATACTTATTTAGCAAGGATGCTTTAAATTGATCAAAAGTGACGATAAAGACATTTATAATGTTACAAAAAATTATATCTCAGATATATGCTGTTCTTCTGAACGTTATATTCATCAAAGAAACCTGAAAAAACTCTACTCGGCTGTTTTCAACATCATAATAATAATAAAAAATGTTTTTTGAGCAGCAAATCAGAATATTTGAATGATTTCTGAAGGATTGTGTGACTGGAGATGTGATATGAGTGTGATACATAGGCTACATACATACACTACCAGTCAAATTTTTTTGAACAGTAAGAAAGATCCAATAGAAAGATCAAAAGATCAGCATTTATCTGAAATAAAAAGTTTTTGTAACATTATACATATACCACTAAAATGCTTGGAGTCAGTATAATTTTTTTTAGTTTTTTGGGGGGAAATGACAGAAATGAATACTTATTTAGCAAGGATGCTTTAAATTGATCAAAAGTGACGATAAAGACATTTATAATGTTACAAAAAAATTATATCTCAGATATATGCTGTTCTTCTGAACGTTATATTCATCAAAGAAACCTGAAAAAACTCTACTCAGCTGTTTTCAACATCATAATAATAATAAAAAATGTTTTTTGAGCAGCAAATCAGAATATTTGAATGATTTCTGAAGGATTGTGTGACTGGAGTAATGATGCTAAAAATTCAGCTTTGAAATCACAGAATAAATAGAATAGAATACATTTTAAATATATTCAAATAGAAGAGAGTTATTTTAAATAGTAAAAATATTTCACAATATTACTGCTTTTGCTGTATTTTGGATCAAATAAATGCAGGCTTGGTGAGCAGAAGAGAATTCTTTAAAAAACATTAAAAATCTTACTGTTCAAAAACTTTT